CAGTTTATTTTTATCAAGGACGAAACAATTATGTTACTCGCTAACTTTAAGTTACCAATGTATTATTACTGGCAAACGTTAGGACCGCGAAATACGCGTATTTCTGGGTAATTTCCCTTCGTCAGTCGCGGACATCTGACTCCGCTTCTTTTCATCTTCGACGCGCATAGCCCAACATTCGCATCCCTATAGAACGGACCCCGTCTACAGCTTCTGAATTCTTGTCTCAGGACGTACTTAACGTTCGAGGGAACAACCTACGGACAGATGACGCGGATACCAATGCGTTCACTGATTTCATGACTCCTTGCCGAGGTGGTTCTGAAAAGTTTGTCTTCCAACAACACAGACCCAAATTTTGTGTGCGGTATGTGGATAATGCCTTCGTCGTTTTCGAACGGGATCAGATGCTCATGTTCAGGGAGCATATCAGCAGCGTCTTCCCGGACAAACATTTTACAATGGAGGACAAAGAGAACAATCAGCTGACCTTCCTTGACGTCCTCGTCTGTAGCAAACATTGCGGTGGCCTAAAGACCAAAGTTTCTGGAAAGAGACAAACACGATGCAATTACTGTGTTTCAACAGCAACAACCCAATGATCAACCAAGTTCAGGAAAGGAGGGCAACCCGTTTGCCTAGCTGCTGGTGGCGGATAGTGGCGCGGCCTTCAGTGAAGGTTAGCTTCCAAAAAAGCAGGCTCCCCGGGTCTGGTGAATAAGCAGTCGCGGACGCAGCAGCGACAGTGTTACCAGGGCGCGGTGCGCTGAGGTTTGGCACGCCGACTGCCTCATCAAATGCCGCAAGTCCCAATGACGACACTGTGATTTGGCGAGCGTGAACGGCCATTAAAAAGTTTGCTTGCCACCAGCATCACTGCCTTGTGGTAAGCACTTGAGCCAATGTGCTAGAGGAGACAACATCAAACAAAGAATCCGAGCGTCTGTTGAGGACCCTCCCGTATTCAAAATTCCCAAGCAACCTCATGATATGTCCCTTTACTCTACTATGACCAATGCTACAGCGACCGACGCGCTCCGTTACCCTCGTCTGGTGGTGGGAGCGAATAATATGCAAGCTGGACTGCTCAAACAAAAGAGACTCTTGGTATTGGATGTACATTAAATTGCAATCTGATGCAAGGTTGGGGATAGGAGGATTTAACGCACACTTGAGGTTGTTTATTTAGTTCAATGGGC